AAAAAAAAATTCCTTGGAGAGAAGTGGAAAAAGCTGTTTATTTAACAGAAATTAAGTAATATTAAATAATAAAACCTCTCGCTGTTCGATGGGATGGCAAGTCTAGGAAGAAAAGTCCTTTTCACGTGGTGTAGCTCGGCTCGCTCAGGTTCTTATCAGTCCCTCCGTCGCTGGAAAGTGCCGAGGCCCAGGCCCCGGTGGGCCACAGGCGTGAGCTCCCGGGGTTTGGCTGGGTGTTCAGTCCAGAGCAGGCTTGCACAGATCCAAGAAAATTGGGAAAAAAACAAACAAAGGTCCAGGGAACTCCTCTGCCTCAGCTAGCTAGAACTAACTAAAAGCCAGAGAGAAGCTCTGTCCCGCTGTCTGTCCGTGCTGCAGACACCACAGTCCAGGAGCGGGATGTGTGGGAGTGATGTTTTTCCTTAACACAAACTGGAGCTTCTTCTTCTCCCTCTCTTGCTCTCAAAGCCAGTCTTAAAGGTGCAGAACTTAATATATAACATAAACCAGATGATTTGGGATACCAGTATCATAAAGTCACCCCAGGACAGGGGTCTGGGATTTTTTGTGGGGGTTTTGTTTTGCTTTTGTGTCTTGATTTGGTTTTGGGTTTTTTTTAAACTATTCTCAGAATTAATTTGAAGTTTTAGTAATTTCTTAATGTTCAGTAGGGACTTCACACACTAGACATTAAAATATAATTTAATGGTCTCTTCAGTAAAGTTTGTGTGTATGGAAACCTGATGAATTCAGTTAAAGTTAGCATTTGATTCATCTGCTCACATAAACCATCTGCATGGATTTTATTCACAGACTCAGAACAGCACAGACATATATTTCCAAAACACTGTAATCCAGCATAGATCACTGCTATCCGTGAAAGGAAAATCTACCCAAATTTATTTTCTCTATCCCTGATTTTTTGACTAAAGCTAGATAGTAAATATAGATCTAAATATCGATCCTGGTGGAGACAAAACAGAAATAGTCCTTATTAAAGTAAGGAGTGGTTTGTCAGTATGGATATTGCCAAAACAAGGAAGGATGAGGCCTTTCCTTTTGATAGCAGCATGACTCTTAAGTAACCGGTGGAATTTGTAAAAGTAAAAAACTCTAAAGAAGCTGGTGTAAAATATGTAACTAAACACTTTTTTTTTTGTGATACAAAAGAGTGAAGGGTTTATTAGACAAAACTTTAAAAAAATAGAAATTTATTATTGAAGTGAATTACAGTCAAATTTAGTAGGATGAGAAAAGGATTGATCAAAGGAAGGACTGTAAAGTTCAGAGTATTTGGTTTTGACAACTATTCATGAGTACTTAAAAATTTCATAATCAGTGACAGAATTTCTGGTGTCTGGCAATTTCCCTGAAGACGTTAGTGTATGTAATTAGGGAATCCTACTAATTTTTTGTATTCTCAAGTTTAGAACAACTGATTTGGTGAAGCACTGAAATCTGTCATCCAGTATATATGCAGTTTGATGAGTGCTTGGACAGTGCTTTTCAAAGTTTATCTCTGGGGTGCAGACTCTTCAAGAGTAGCTTTGACTTTGCTGTCCAAAACGTCTGTGTTTGTCTCTTGGTTTTGTCAGATCAGGAGTGAGAGGAAAAAAAGCTGTGAAACATACTTTTAAACTGAAATTTAGCTCTGTGTATATTGGTTCAAAGTTTGGCATAATTTTTTTAATACATGAAAAATTCTCTATTTATTCCATACAGCTCTTCAATGAAATGATTCAAGAAAATGGTTATAATTTTGACAGATCATCACCGACATTTAGTGGCATAAAGGAGCTTGCTCGACGTTTTGCTTTAACATTTGGATTGGATCAGTTGAAAACAAGAGAAGCTATTGCTATGTTACACAAGTAATTGTGTGCTTTGTATTACATTTTTGTAAACACTTACTGACTAGCATAAGATAGTCTTTTTTGTCTTTGAAAATCAGTTTGTTAATACTAAGTGCATCAGTCATAGAGATGTTGTAGTCCATGTATTAATTAGGAGATGACTGCAGTTTTGTCTCTAAAAAAATCCCTAAATGTTTCATATTGTTGGTGTTCTCCAGCATCATCGTATAAGTATGTAAATGACAGCAGTATCGATGCTATAATGAAAAAGCCTTTTTAATGTCTGGTCCATAACAATTAGAACAGATCCACTTCATTGTCAGTGGTGGTCATGTTGGCCTCATGCAGAAAACTTGAAATGCAGGGTAGAAATTCTGTGACAGAAAGTGTGTCCAGATTTAAATAATGACTGGTGTTCACTTTTTTTGCTGGAATATGAAAACATGGGTAGCTCACAGGGCTTTGAACTTCTTTTTCTGATGTAATTTTTTATTTGTTCTTAGGGATGGTATAGAATTTGCTTTTAAGGAGCCTAATCCACAAGGTGAGAGCCACCCACCATTAAATTTGGCATTTCTTGATATTCTCAGTGAGTTCTCCTCGAAACTTCTCAGACAAGACAAAAGAACAGTGTAAGTATTTTCTTAATATTCTTAATATTTGTAATGATAACCACAAAAGATGCACATCAGAATAAATGCTTGTGTGTTGTATTCATCTAAAGTGGAATCTTTGACACATCAAGGTAAGTTTACACTGATGTAGTCAAGTATACTCACAGAGGGTAAATTATATTTATTGTTGTTATTTTTCAATTTATGGTGGATGAACAGAAATTGTATTTCGGATTTGCTGTTGTCTGGTCTCTCTTAACTAGATGAGAAACATCGGCTGAGAAATTTCAGTAGTTACTTATCTTGACATAGTAACATTTGTTACAGATTTTTTGCATCTCTGTATTTCTTTTTTCATTTAAAGATATGTTTACTTGGAGAAGTTCATGACTTTTCAGATGTCTCTGCGAAGAGAAGATGTGTGGCTTCCTCTCATGTCCTACCGAAACTCTTTATTAGCTGGTGGGGATGATGATACCATGTCAGTGATTAGTGGAATCAGTAGTCGAGGCTCTACAGTAAGAAATAAGAAGACAAAGCCAGCAACAGGCAAGCGGAAAGTACCTGAAGGTAGAACTTCTCACATCTTAAAATTTACTAGAATACATATTCACATAAACTGCACATATTCTTCCATATTTTTTAGTGTGACTGTATTGGTATGCCTTAATGTATTTTTTCAGAACAAGTAACTTCTGATCATGTATGTGTCTTAGTGGGAAAGCTATTCATTTGATTCAGAGAAGGAAATAAGGGCACTACACAGTGTTAAATCATACAACAGAGAAGTACAGAAATGCTCCAGCCAGAAATTATAACTCCAGGCCCTTTGAGGCACATGTAAGACTTTGTGACAAAAAGTAAAGCAATCGAATCTCTTTGTCATGCATATAATTTGTGTTTCAACATTGACTTTCAGACTAGTTTTAAAAAAATTTAACAGATGTTCTTCCTGTGTTTGCTTCCAGCTGAAGAAAGCAGCAGTAGTGACAGTATGTGGCTGAACAGGGAGCAGTCAATGCACACACCAGTCATGATGCAGACACCTCAGCTCACTTCCACGATAATGAGGGAACCCAAGAGATTGCGACCTGATGAGAACTACATGGGTGTCTATCCTATGCAGCCTGAGCATCACCAACCACCGCTTGACTACAAGTATGTACATGAGTAGGTCTGCTTTGTGTTAGTGTTCATACACAAAACCAGTACATGTTTAAAATAGAATAATGGTCTTTTTAAGCACGCAAGTAACGTGGATGTTGGCTCAAAGGCAACAGGAAGAAGCCGCGCGACAACAACAGGAGAGGGCAGCGATGAACTACGTCAAGCTGAGAAGCAACTTGCAACACGCCATGTGAGTGGAGTGACACGTTCTGTCAGTGAGTCAGGGAGGGGATTTATAAATGCAGTGGTAACACCTTTTAAGAGGGATACATCTTCTAAGTTCAAAAGTTCTCTGCATTCTTAAGGACTCTGGTTCTACAGAAAGAAAGTTCAGGTTGCAATATGGGCATATGTATTGAGGAGCTTTACATCTCTCCCCTACTTTTTTTTGATTGTTTTAATACCAGTACTTCATGTAACATAGTTTCAGTGGTGGCTTTTTTAAAATCCACTGACTCTAATTAGTATAATTAGAATTACTCCTTAGTTTTCTCATAAGATTTGGTGTTTCATGTAGAATTTATGAGGAAAGAGGATGAACGACTGTTTAGGTGTATTTGTAGTGGTTTTACACATTTACTTTATTTCAAAGACATTCTTCCTGGCCTTATCATAAGGCAGAAACAATTTTTCTTTAGGTGGCAAAACTTAAATTCCTTCTCACTTGAGCATAAATTAGTTATGGAGTAGATCTCCTTGTCAGTTCTCAGACCCTTTCTGCATACCCATTTAGCAGTGTGCCACAGTTATCTAAACTGACCTTTGTCAGGCATTCTCCCACATTCTCTTAGTATTTTCTGTTGGTTTAACACCAGCTTTCTTTGGTAGTAATTGTGCATTTATTTCATTACTTAATTTCTGTTTTATCCAATGGAATTATTATTTGTTGAGAGTCCCATAGTGAGAATTAGCTTATTAAATAGATAAAAGGTAACTTGATTTAGTGCTAAACAGTGTTGTTTTTCATTTCAGTCGACGTGGCACAAGTCTAATGGAAGATGATGAAGAGCCAATTGTTGAAGATGTGATGATGTCATCAGAAGGGCGGATTGAAGATCTTAATGAAGGCATGGATTTTGACACCATGGACATAGACCTAGTAAGAAATTTACTTTTCTTTTAATGGTCTTGGGATTTGTATTTCTGCTTTTAAAGTAAGATATTTGAATTAAATTTTTCTTCTGATAAAACAAAAATCATTCTGGTTGCTTTCTGAATTGTTAAAGGGCTGTGCTGTTATCTGTGTACAAGAGCCATCTGCTCCAACTGCTATACAAAAAGCAAAAACACTTCCTGTCATAACTAATAACATTTATCACTTGTGAATTCTTAGCCCTTGAGAGTTCAGCTTCACTGACTACAGTGTAAAACTGTTTTTCTGGTGGATTTACACTTAACTTGTTTGTTTGTTTGCTTCCTAAAGCCACCGTCAAAGAACAGGAGAGAAAGAACGGAACTGAAACCAGATTTCTTTGACCCCGCTTCAATCATGGATGAATCGGTAGGTTAACTTATGTAAGGGGAAAGTAATGTAAATCAGTCTTAAGGTTGCCATACTCTTTTCAGATATTAAATGGAAAGAATGCAGTCTTCAGGTTGTCATTGTTATAGATTATTTTGACAGACTGGTACAGTAAGTCAGCTCCATACATTCTAGGATAGTCAGTGTTCCTTGCAAGTTTATAGGATTTTTGTTCTTAATATATGTATATAGGTATGTAAAAATTAAAAGCCTATGATTCTGAGCAGAAAACACATCTGTTATGGAAAAGGCCCTTGCAAAGGCTGGTAGCAAAGAGCATTACAAAAATAAAGAAATGTGCATACATAGTATTAAAGGCAAGTTTCCTGTTGTGCTGAGCTTAGTTCAGTGACTCTGATGTCATTATGAAATGTCAGCTTTAGATAGTTTGCATTTTGTGGTTTGGTTTTCTTTTTTTTTTTTTTAATTGGCATGTTTACTTTTGTGCATAAGTAAGATAATGGAGAAATAAGAGATAATACAGATATCTGTTTATAGAGATGAGAGGTATTTTTTCTTTCCATATGAAGTTTTAGGTCCAAAACATCCGAAGTCTGTAGTTTCTGCTTGCAGTTGCCCTTTTATCCGACTTGGTAAATCTGCAGTCTCTATTCTCTTTTAAAAATCTGCATGAGGGATTCCTTCTGTCTTGAACCACTTGTAAAGTATGCAGCCATTTTTGACCTTGGGTAGCTGGTACAAAATTACACTGGAAATAACAAGCTGCAGCAAGCCAGCAGAGGACAGTACAACAAGGCTTCCTGGGAATCTTGGACAGCTTGGTGGAATTTGGAAGATGGTTATGTATTTTTTTACAGTATTGTTGCAGCATGAACCTGTTTATGGGAGAAAGAAGTCCTAAATACTGTTTTAAATGCAAATCCATATATTTTGTACCAATAGGGCTTTGCTTTAGTAATAATGAATCAGTTAGGTTGTGCGTCTGGCTGTTGTGTGTTCTGTTCCTGAAATAACACCAAGAAAATATCTCGCCTGTTCTCTGACATTGTTTTACAATAGTACTTCCCCTCCTCGATTTTTCCTGGACTGATCTGTGAAGTACCAGTCACTTTTTAGTCTGACAGTGCTGAAACCTTGGCCCTCTCCAGGTTGCATTGAATTGATTTGAGGACCCTTTTAGCTTTCCAGCTCTAACACTAGTTGGGACCGCTGTAACAGGTTGAGTTCCCCGGCCGGCCCCGCTGTGCCGCGGGCGCAGTGCGCGGGAGCGGCCGCGCGGGGGCAGCCGCCGGCAGCGCAGCAGCGCGGGGAGCGCCGGGCGGGGCCGCTCCTTTACGGAACCCCCGGCGGGAGACAGGCCACGGGATAACGTGCAGTCAGTGTTCAGTGTAACCAAACCATCGCACACATGCTAAAACTTCTCAGAATAAAGTTAATTCGCTTTATTCATATAATTTATTTCAGAGGTCCCTTATTCTTGGAGTTGTTGCGCTTGTTTTTAATAGACGTAGACATAATAAAACTGTTTAATTTACTCAGATGCACATGGTTTATGATCAGACTTCTAGTCTGATGTACCCAGTTATTGCTGGCACCAGTTCTGTGTGGTCTATTGTAGGAGGCACCCAAAGTGAATTTAATTCAAAGAACAGAAAAAATTGTTTTATAAACAGATAAGTATGAGCAGTAGTATTAAGGTTCAGGAAAATTCAGTCTGTTTTGGCTTTTGCTGATTTTATAAAGTCCTATAAAAGCTAGGACAGTCACAAAATCTGAATCTTCTGGGGTTTTTTTGGAACATCAGTGGTCATACGTATTTCAATTGGCACAGAAAGCTGTATGGCTTATTCTGACATGGGAAGTGGAAACTGATTCATTGTTTCAGGAAAGCTTTTTCTTTCCCTAGTTACACAATCTCTTGAAGTACAGTTGCTTGATTTTGCCTGATGATTGTTTGATTTTTCACTGTCTTCCTGACAGAGTGGATACATTTCCTAGGAAATGTTAAATTTGTGTCCTGGTTGGCTGATGTGGGATGGACTGTGGTTTCTGTGATCACAGACACAGCAGCGGCCAGTCTCTGGAGAGTTTTGTCCCAGGTTTAGTGCTGGTAATAAAACACACTTGATTTCAGATTAACGCCAATAGAATGTCATTGTCAAAGAAGTCTGAGTTAGGCACCTAACTAGAAACTCTTTTGCAACTATTACCTAAAATAATTAAAACAGACTTTATTCCTACTAGATTTAGTAAATTTCAAGTGTGAGAAAAATATTTCTAATGAATGAGGAGCCCTTTTCATATTATTACCTAAATCAGAAGTGTGGTTAACCTGGTTTAGAAGAAAAATAAACTTAATAATGCCTTAATATATCTTGAAGTGTCTTAAATTATATACTAATTGCTTTGTTATTTGTTAAATGTGTATTAGACTACAAATTGACACCATTTCTAACTTTTTTTTTAGGTTCTTGGGGTGTCAATGTTTTAATACCAGAGCAGCAAATAAATCAGTGGTGAAGTCATTTTCTAAGTGGAAGAGGAAGTTTTTCAATACAAAATTGTGGTAGATACAGTGAAATTCTGAACAGATTTTTCTCTAAGGAGAATGACATGCTTTCAAGATCAAGTGCATTGAAGGGGCAGTTTTGCTTGCCTGAAAGAAAAAAAGAAATGTAAAGGACAAGTAAACAATTTGAGGATAAGTTACACTTTTTGTTGGGAAAAAAAAAAATCAATATTTTATTTATGTGCTATCAGTTTATTTCTGGATCATAAGAAGTATTCCCTCTGAGTTTTAATCTTAACAGTCAGAGAGGTGTTTGGTACAGATTTGAGCTCCTCTCTCTGTACATTTACTGGCTATACTAAATAATCACAAACTCTGCTGGATTGCTGTTCATGTCCATGAACTGTAATAGTAGGTGGATTGGTTTTCTCACAGTGACAGAATGAACCAGAAGAGTTGTCAGTATTTTCAATTAAATTCAAACTTAAGCAACAGAAGGTTTGTATTAATTAATCATGGAAAAAAATACATAAAGCAGAATTTTAATAGCTTTTTAATCTAAAACACATTTTTTATTCCAAAAGCTTCATGTTAGCCTTCTCAGAAAGGTCCATAAGCTATAAGCTACCAGAACGTAACAGATTTCACTCTTGCTTGCCCATTACCAACCCTGAAAGTTTGCTTGTCCTTTAAGAAAAATGTAATGTTGTGAAATTCCTTCCAGTAGTGCCACTGTATTTTGTCTCCAAATAAAAGAAGCTTATTGTAGTATGTTTGCAGAAAAATTCTAAACAAAAATTATACAGCTTATTAGAGTGTGGGAATAGGGATCTAAATTTTAAATAAAATTATATATATATATAAATTGGTGCTGATTTTATAATTGCGCAGTTTGTTTAGTTTTTTCTTACTTTTAAATTCCAACTTAAAATTATGAGGTTTCAGAAATATATTGAAAGTTTAACAATGTTTAAAAATAGAAGAGCATGAGAATTCATGCTTTAAAAATGATTTTTAAATTTGTATTTTATATTGTTTTATCTATCTGTCTTTGCAAGCAGTCTTCAGGTTAAAGATACTTCTAACAGGTTACAGTACATTTCCTCTATATGTAAATTAGATTGGATAATAGAAACTCATAAACAGCCCATAATATTCTTTGAAAGCTAAGCTTTAAACTTCATTTTGTGTCCATTCACAAAAAAATTAAATTTGGTCTAAAACAGAAAGTGGATCTATGCCATTTTGACATTGACTCATTTTGCAAGGCTTAGGCAGCTAGACATCATTTTAAAGGAAATATTAACTTATATTACATATGTATATTTTTTGTCAGTTGTCTCTCAGTTCTTGAGGTATATTATTTTAATCATTCCATGCCTTAATACGCTTGCAATACAAGAATCTCCCCAAATGGGTGAATACAAAAGGCTTCCTGTTTTTAGACTCAGAAATCAAACATTCGGCTGTGGTAGCCAAAAACCATAGATTATCTAAAGGATCATGATAAAGTATAATTATTTTACTAGGTCATGGGGTAACAACAAAATCAAAACTAGATCTGCCTAACTCATTTTACATAAATAAATACTCTCATGTCTAAAAGTACTGCCTATATTGTTTTCCACACCACTGCATTTAATAGAACTGCTGAGAGGACTGTATATATGATTTTAAACTTAAGTTGATTTTTCTTACTCTTGAAGGAGTGTTTCTTTGTGAAAGCAGTTCTTACAGCTTTGTTTTCAACCAGCTAAAAATGTTTTATATATTTACCTTAACCTGTTGTCCTCCACATTCTATTGTCCTAATTGTACTGTTTTCTGATTTGTATTTATGTCTTGAGACAGTAACTTTTTGAATAAAAATAAACCTACAGTATGTTGTATGTTTGATCTTTTTAAATTGGGGTTATGGGAGGACAGTGAAAAAAGGGGTATGAGTAATGCAAATGTTATGTTTATAGAAATCAAAATCTTTTTCCATGTCTTTTAAGTGTTTGTCTCAGAGTTGGGATAATGTATGAAAAACTGCACTGTTTTATATTTGTAATAAATTGTACAAGTTTTTAAAATGTGAATAAAGCACTAATTGGGTAATAATTTAAAGCAGAAAAGTTAATGCAATCATGATTGTTTTAAATATGCTTTGAGATAAACTTGTTAAAAGAATTAGTGTAAATACAGAGTGAGCTTTTGAAGAGGTTAGTACCTGCAAATAAAATTTTTAAAATTTGTATAGAACTTTTACATGCCAAGAAAGCAGTGGTTAATTATTTTTGTGTTACGTTTTTTAAAGGTGTATTAATAGCCTTTCTTTTGGTTTCTTTTTCTTAATAACCATTATCTGTTTTTACTCAGAATGCTTTTGATTCTGACATTGGAGATGCTGTACATAGTCCAATAGAAATACCATTAAATGTGTATGCTACTTTCCATTCCTTAAATTGATCCTACATCTGGTAAACATTCTGAGCTTAACTGGCCAGACAGCAAGGGAATGAGGGGAAAACCCTAAACATCCCTTCCTCTCCCATTCCCCTCTCCTCAACTACTGAGCACCTCTAGCTGGGGACTGAAAACTCCTTTCTGGTACAAGAGGTTTTAAAGTAGTAATTTTAAAATCTTAGATATAACACTTTTAATCCGTGCTAATGTAACTTTAGGAGTTTTGGGTTGGTTTTTATTTTAGGTATTATTATTGCAAATGTTCATTATTCCTGTCTCTAAATCCTGCTGTAAATTCAATAGTATCTTGTGGAAAACTGTTTTATTAGGTTCTAAGTTTATAATGCAAGAAAAATACCTTCACTATACAGTGTAAAATCTGTTCTAGTTAAACCTTTTTGGTACAAAAGCCTGTAAATGGAAGAAATTGGAGTTTTGAAGACAGATATGATAAAAATGTAGAAAAAAAGCAAACTAATCAGAGAAAGTAGTCTGTCCTCTGGTTTACCAGAGAGGCCACAGGGAAGGTATTGACACAGAATGAATTTCAAAGGAATAGTCTCCACATATTCTGTAAAAAGTATTTCTTGATATTAAACAACCAAAGACAATATGTAAGACGTTAGTGATGGCTGTTGTTTGTTTGTTTGGTTTTTTCTCCTTTGGTTGGTGGGATGCTGATTCCTGTAGTGTGTTAGAAGTCATAAATCCCCATCTTTAATCTCAGTATTACTAAAAAAATGTCTCTTTAAAATCTGCCCCTCTGTTTTCCCCCTAATATACCCATACACTTGTACTTGTGTGGGGTTTTAGGACAGCAATACAATTAACTTCCTACCCATACTGGATTTTTTGAGTTGCTTTGATTCACAACAATGTGTTGCTGCTTTTTTACCTATGGACACTTTTTTTTTTTTTATAGCCTGATGAGTATCAAGGACTTGTTCATTCTTTGAACCATTTGTCAAAATTGTGAATTTGTGCTTCAGAATTCTTCTAGTAAAATACAAATTGATTCTTTAAAAGTATCTTCATTCCTACTTAACTGCTTTAATTTAATATTTGACCAGTTTATGTTACTGAAATGTAGGTTATGCCATTGCCTGATTTTTCATAATCCTATGTAATTTCTTGTCCTGATATTGTTTAATTTCATATATATTTGTTGGCATCCAAAAGGGATCATATTTTTGATGGAGGTGGATGATGACACATACTCAAGAAACAACATAGTGCAGGACAATATTGTTCTATAATTCCGTTTTAGAAGTAACAATTCCATGTGAATTGTGCCTGTCATTTTCTTCAGCTGTCCGTCTCTCCTGTATCCCTCTTCATATTGGTGATCTTTCTTGAATCTATTTCTTTGATTAAATCTCAATTTTCATATTTCTTTAAAGTTTTTACCAGTTAGATGTTGTCACAGCTGTTGTAAATGGTGGCTTCCAACTGGAGATTCAGTTGCTGCTTTTTGTTGTGTTTTTTTGTGGCTGCTGCCAAGTTTTATCTGGTTTTATTTACCACAGCTAAATTATTGTGGCAGTATAGTGGTAAGAAGCTATAACTGTGCCTAGCAAAATGATCCAAAGAACGTTAAAGTGGTTGGATGGCTGACTGACAGAAAATGTCCCTGTCCTTCAGAGAATATGTACGGTTCTTTAACGTCATCATGCTTCCTAAACCTGATTGTGTAATTTCTGCTGAGCTTTTCTCAGCAGTTTTTTGATTGGAAAATAAGAGGAGAAGTCATCATGTTTTGTGTATATTAACTGTTTTTGTAGAAGAAAAAGCTGAAGTTAGCCACTTTAAAAATGCAAGTTGTGTTCAGCTGATAACATCTTGAATTCTGCACTTTCAGAAAAGCTATTTAAAAGAACCTAACAAAATAAAATTAAAAGTAATAAAACCTTTGGAGGCCTAGAACATCTCAAATTAGGAAGATGTGAAGTTGGTAGTTACTTCATGAAAGCACTCAAGTAATACAAGTCTTGGGGAAATGAATTAATGAGCTTGCAGACAGTGTCCTGTTTGTTGAGGTGGGTAATAGCAGATGAGAGATCAGTGCACACAACAGCAGCTTGTTACCTATCTGGTGGGCTGTGGGTACAGCTGGAATGATCTCTCAGAAATTTAGCAGGGATGGTCTCCTTGTGCTCATGTAGCCCTTCTCTAGACTGCTTTTTCAGTACCTTTGCCCTTAAGCTTTTGTCCCTAAGTCCCCTATACATCTGTAGGGACGCAGCTATGGGACATGGTGTGAACACTGTGCTGTGGTTCCTGCAGCTCATGGGAGGGCTGGGTTGGCTCAGGGCTTTAGCACTGCTCTGATCCCAAGCTGGCCATCACTGGGGTTTCCATGCTGGAGAGCTGCAGCCCCTATATCCTGACCAGGTGCTCCACATGACACCTATTTCCCATATGGCTGTCAGGGAAGCCTTGCATTGGCTGCTGCTTTGTGAAAAGCAGTTAAACCACAGTTTTTGAATGACATATGCACCCATCTCTTACTATTTTAACACACTCTTTTCACAGGCTTAAATTCTGTTTTCTTCTTTTCAAACTGCTGTACTCCACCAAAAGCAAAAAGGCAAACCACATCCACTTGTTTTTCATATCATGCACAAAAGCACTTAAAGATGTGGCATATCTTATATTTAGCCTGCTCTTCGTATTGTTCATCTTAAAACACTGAGCTGTCTTTTACACAACTGTTCTTACGTATCAACTGACAAAAACTGTCTTTCCATTATTTCTGTTGCCAGTTTATAATCTTCTGAATCTTGAAAAGCCTATTTTTTGGGGTGGTTTTTTTAACTGAACACTTCCATTACAGACAAGAATCAAAAGTGCTCTGTGAAACCTAGTGTGGATTAAGGAAGTGGCATTGTCAGTGAAAGCAGTATCTTGTCACTTCCATTCTGTTTGAGGGACTGATGGTGTTACAGTTTGAGGGCTTACTGTGTAAATGCTTGTAACTGGAGAAATGTGCAGATTGGGACTATTGGTCGTTTTCCTCGTTAGGGACCCTTTTTTTCTTGCCTGTATCAATAGCTTCTATGTGGTGAAAGCAGCTTGTTGGCTATGAAGTAGAAGAAGCACATGTTCTATTTAAAGCTGCCTTCATTACAAATTCTCTCTTTTATTATTTTTTTTTTTAACCTTGCAATGCTTCATCTTCTACTTCAGACTGACCTTTAACTGCATAGTTCACTAGCTCACTTGGGTCAGATTTGTAGATCTGACAGAAAGAAAGGGTGCCCTGTAGAGCAGAGAGACTGCCAATGATGCAATATCAGCTATTTGTGTTAGCTTTTCCTGGGATTTGTGTTGAGTTAACCAAAGAGAAATAGGCTGTTTCTGTTTGTTCTGGCACACTACTGATTTGTCTCAGATTGTGACAGAGCTGCAGATTTTGTGGATTAAACAGTTTAGAAGCATTGTCTCTTCACATGCTGTTTCTGTAGTTAACAGTATTCAAATTAGGCCACTTGATCCATTTGTAAAGTTCAAAAGACATGTCTGTTAGTTTTTTCTTAATCCCTACTCACAAGGAAAGTCAAGTTTCTTCTTTTCTTTTTGAATTTGATTTGCTGTTCATCTCTCATTCATTTACCTGAAATGAATCATGTATGGAATGGTCCATGGAGCCAAACCACAGCACTCAGTGATGTATAATCAAAACTGGTAACTTGGCAGGGTGTCTTGTGGGTGGATAACGACTGGTGTTGTACCAGCCCCAAACATACACAAAGATGAGAGCTCCAGATCTCATTTACACTGACATAACTCTCATCTGGAGAGCAAAGATGCTCTGACCAGTCACCACATTGGGGCCCGGCTGACAGCTTGGCCATCATGTGATTCCTCCTCAGGCATTGCCTCCTGCACGGTATCAGACATGTGGGGTGCCTATCTTCTCTGAAATGGCAGTTTATTATTATTAATTATCATTCCTATTATCAATGAGCTGTCAGCAGCCTTTCCAGTCCTGTAACCCTGGGTCAGCCACCTTATGACTCCCTCAATTTAATTTTAAATTGCTCAGTGTGGTCAGCCTGAGCCAGGAAATGCAGTCATGTCTCACCTGCCTGCAGAGTGAGATAATTAACTTCTTTTCAGGAAAAGATCAGAAATAAACCAACCTGATTTTGGGTCAAGGCTTTCAAAGTGTTGTGGTATGGGAATAAAGATAAAGATCTGATGCATCAGCATAAAGTACACCCCTAATCCCTGTAGGACTTAGTGGGGACCCCCCTTCATCTGTATAACATTACTGACTGGAATGATTATTTTCTGAATTTCAGAGCAATGATTCTTGTGATGAGGGACTTTTCCATACAATTTTAAAGTGAAGGAAGGTGCATGTTACAAGAATTTGCACTGAATGAGCGATGTCTTTGCTCAGGTAGAGATCATTAAAAAAACTGATGT